ACAAGCTTTTGGCTTTTTGATTGTAGTCTGTCCTGTCCCTACGCGGAAAGTATGCAATAATTAGTATATAAACCCTAAACACAATTTAACAACAAGTTTGGCCCAATATTATTTGAGGATTCAATACAAATTTGTCTACCAAATTTGTTTAAAGCGAAATATTTTTTGCCTATCCTTTCCGCAATATATATTTGAATATATATTCTGGCGTTAAAAGTCAATGGGAAAACAGTGCTACTTAACCATTTTTATCGAGTGTAATTTTCGCAGCTGCACGAAAAACGGTACATTCAATAGTTGGGTTCCCACTGACTGAAATGGCCTGGGGTAAGGCTTATCAATAATCCGTAAGTAATCCTTTCGAAACAGAGATGCATATCGAGATTCCGGCTACTTCATGTAGCTTTTTTCGTTCAGCTGCATAGTCCGTAGTTTTCTTAGTTTAAAATATGACATAATCGCACTCTGCTGGCCACACTACTAAAAACTATGTAAACTGCGTACGTAACCAGGACACGGCCTTCGCACATCCTACATACAGTAAATGAATTGTTAACCGAAATTCTGAAATTTATTTCCGACTCGAGAAGATTACTTAAGTTGGGTTGTTAGTTTAATGACCGTGCGGCATAATCTCATAACAATTCTGTTATTTCAAGATGCCGGCTTTTGGAAGAACTTCTTTCCGGCTGCTTACAAAGACTACACTCAGTTAAAAATGACTACTTGTGCAGTATGTATTTTTCCCATTGATTTTCGATGACTTTATAAATTCAAATATATTTCACAGAAAACATGCATATAAATACTCATCGTATTAATCATTTTGCAGGAACGTAGGTCTACTTTAAATTGTTTACTTGAAGGAAGTGTAAAATTTTTAGATACATTTTTGCATTCCCGAATAATTGTGAACCCGACATGCGGTAACACTTACATTCAGGGGTTTCCAAACTGCAAGTTATACAGTTTCCGTGCACTGAAATTTATACAATTCTGTTCGGTATTAAGAAAAGACCCTATGAGGTTCATAAATTTATCAGAGGACTCGAGTCATATAGTAAACTTTACCAACAACACTAATGAATTCAAAGGCACGATGCTTTATGAACGAGCATTTTACGGCCATAAAAATCTCATAATTAGAAACTTTCAAAACAGAATTACACTCTTTCTTCAAGAATTGAGTTTGAAGAAGTCGCAAGTTTTTACCAAAAGACCAAAAATGAATACGTCATGCATTTTTTCGACGAGATATATTCAAACTTATAAAAACATTGTAAATCAATGAAAATAATTCATGCTATTCGAGTAGTCGTCTTTGAAAGACTGTAGCGTTTGTAGACAACCCGATAGACCTTCATTTAAAAGCCGGCATTTTAAGCTAACTGCATTTTTATAGGACTATGATGTATGGTGATTAATATTAAAACCTTTTTAAGTCGAAAAGGCATCTCAGAATTTTGGTCAACGTTTCATGATTTAGTACATCTACCGTAAACCGTGGTAGATAACTACGCGGCGAGAATCACGTAAAGAAACACACTAGACTAAATTTTAATATAAATGCGATTTTTTAAGCTTCAGCGGAACGCCCGCATCTTTCCGAGTCTAATTCAGCAATTTGAGAACCCTTTCAAGGGGTTTCTCGATGAGTCTTCTCTCTTTGTTGACGACTCAGAGATCAAATTCCTCCAAAAATGTGGTAGAAATCTTTTTGCATAATCACATCAACAATTCCCCGTCTACGTTATTTCAGATGGACGAGGCAGGCCACGAAGATGTTTTTGTCTGTGCTTCCGTTTGTCCAGAATTGCATCCATTAAAAAGTCGTGCAGATAGGAGAGATAATGTGGTGGTTTGTGGGGGGGGGCGGCATGATGCAGAACTGGAAGGCCTCACCCCCTCGCTCCCCCCTCCCTTCCAGTAACGCAGGTGGCCTCGTGCAAAATGCTGAGAAACACATATATTTCCGTGTTCAAACACCAACCCTAGACTTAGCCATAACCAAAACCTTAACATTAGTCCTGACCTTCCTGGAAGTTTGTGCAAGGACCCTGAAATGGGAGGAAGCTCCTATTTTCGTGTCTGGATGAGGGCGCTGCCAAAAATCTGGCCGTCCAATGA